TACAGTTACTTTCTGCATACGTTATAGCTCAGTGAAAAATATTAACACAGATGGCAGTTGGATGTTCACAAAAGCAACGTCGAGGGGATGACAGTGAGTACAAAAGACGCGTTCGCAGGTTGGGAAGAAGAGCTACTGACGCTTCCTATCCAACTCTATAAGGGTCCACTGTCCGTTTTTCAGATGAATAACCCAGGCTCAAGGAGACTATGTAACCAGCAGGACCGCCTGGATAACAACATCAAAGAACCAGGACTGCGAAAACGCTTGCTGCCTGTGGCAAGAGGTGGGCTGGGCATGAGAATGGGCCTTAGCTAGTGACCCGCTATCTCAGCTTCAGGCTGTCTGCATCCACCACTCAAGTAGCTGTTTCCGGAGCCTGAGGTGCAGAGGCCAAGGAGGAAATCCCCGGGTGGGGAGTGTGTACTGGGGCCTTCCAGGAATTATGAAACTTGATCCCGCAGGCCAGGAGCTCTGGCACAGTGGAGGAGTCAAAGCAGGGGGAACCCCAAACCCCGGACCGAGTGAAGGAGGCGTGAGAACCTAGGGTTGAGCCCTGATTGCTACAACTGTGACCACAGCTCTTCCCTCCATCTCCAGTCTTGGTTTCTACTCTTCACATGCACATATGGTAATGGAAGTAGGGGAAGGGCTAGACTATGAGGGACTGACTCCCAAGGGAACAAATAAAGATTCAGGGAGAGTTTCAAGTTTAATCCTCACTCAGAGCTGACTTGGGCACCAGTCCACTTTGTGAAGGAGCAGGGAAGTGGAGGGGTGGGGGCGGGGTGGGGCAGGAAAGCCTCAGACGGGGCGAAAGGGTGGGGCTGTGAGGAAAGGCAGATTTGCAGGGGAAGTTCCAATTGGAGGAAATGAAGTGGGCAGGGCTAAGGAAGGGCCTAGAAAGGAGGTGACTGGGAGTCCTGCAGACAGCAAAGGGGGCAGCCCCAGGCTTCTCAACCTACTCCTGTCCAAGGGACAGGCTGCAAGCGGGGCTCACCCCTTCACCTCAATTCTTGGCTGGGGGTAGGAAGGTCCTCTGATTTGGGTGCCAGGCCCCCAGGCCGGCCTCCCAACCTTGGGAGGTGGCAGGGGTGGGATGGGTTGTATCCCTGCCACAAGCTGAGCTAATTTCCTTGGCTCAATTCCATTCTACCAATCCCTTGCCAGTTAGCTGAGGTGCAGGAGGCCTCGTCTTGGGAAGAAAGTGGGTGGTGAGAGAAGTGGTTCTGTCCTCTGAGAGGATCTAGCTCCATGTCTGCAGGAAGTGGCCTGAGTTTAACCTGGAGGGAGCCAAAGGCTGGGGGCTGGTGTTTTCTAGCCTCAGTCGCAGGACCAAATCATGTAGTATTTCCTCCTTGGGCTCTGCCCTCCTTGGGAGGAGTCACAGCTCTTGCTTCAGCACCCTTAAGCAAATGAGGGTAACAGAATTAATTCTAAAGAAATCCAGTCACCCAGCGAAGGGAATAGGGCAATCCTGGTATTTTCATGAAGCACTGCATTAGGGGCTCTGAATGGGAGTGTGTTTCATCCCTCAGCGATGCAAGACAGAAAGGTGATGATCAGCAATTTAGAGCTTTCTTGTGGAGTCTCCTCTGGTCTAAGATTCCTCAAAAAGATACTGGCCCTTCAGACTGACAACCCTTTTCCTCCACACCTATCTCCCCTTTCCTAACCTCTGGGCTCCTGAGAATTTGAGGGGCATGACCCCTATAATCGGAGGATGCTCTATACCAACAGTTTACAGTTTAGCCATAGACAGGACACCTGTCAGCCTTGGAGCCCAGCCAGTATAGCAATATAGTAGTTAAGAATATGGGTTATGCCCTGGCCGGGTGGCTCAGCTGATCATAGCGTTGTTGACTGAACACACCAAAAAATTGATAATTAAAACACACACACACACACACACACACACACACACACACACACACAAAACCCCATATCACTGGGTGAGGATTTAAAAAAAAAAAAAAGAGCCCTAGCTGGTTTTTCTCAGTGGTTAGAATGTTGGTCTTCGGACTGAAGGGTCTCAGGTTCGATTTTGGTCAAGAGCATGTACCTCTGTTGCAGGCTCTATCCCTGGCCCTGGTTCAGGGCATGTGCGGAAGGCAACCAAACGATGGGTCTCACATCAATGTTTCTCTCTCCCCCTCCCTTCCATTCTCTCTAAAAAATCAATGGGAAAAAAATATCCTTAGGTGAAGATTAACAACAACAACAAAAGAATCCCTTCCTCTCTGAAATCAATAAAAATATATTTAAAAAACCAACAACCCTGGATTCAAACTCCAGAGAGCCTGTATGACTTCTGAATCTTGATGTAATCTGTAAAATACCTGTATTTCAAGAGTTAAAATTTAAAAATAATGTAATGAAGAGCTTATTTATAATGTCTATCATCAAGCAAGAATCTGATAGATGGTAGCAGTTGTTATTATACTCAGAGATTGCAAGTTAGCCGTCTGAGGAGAGACTGGCTAGGGATGGGGCAGTCACCGAGGTGTTCATAAGCCCTACTGCACCTCCCCAAGGAATCCTCCCAACTGAAAAACATCAAGGTATAAACCAACCCTGGGGTCCCAGCTCAGCGCCAGCTCCTACGGGCAGGAGCCCCAGGGAACTGGGTGTAACTGAGGCTGAGGCCTTTAAATAAATGGGAAACAACATGAAAGCCTGAGTGGGAGATAAAAGGACTGGGGGTTAGTGACAAGAGGTAAGACACATTTCCCAAGTGCCCATGAACTTGAAAATTACCTTGACGAAGCTGAGAGGGGAAAGCACATCCATGAAGAAACTGCTCCATGGGTCTTCAAAGGCAGTGTCAGAAAGGAGGCTCATGATCCCACAGCTCATTTCCTGCAAACTGCCCACCCCAGGTCAGAGGCTCTCCCCCTGGCCTGGAGGGTCCTGCCTCTACCACAGACAATTAATGCTGCCCTCAGCGGACTTTCAAGCGTTGGGTTCTCATGACTGCGCTCTCTCCCTCCCCTGGCTCTTGACTGCCAACCCCTTGCCATTGCTGACCCAGGACAAGAGACTCTGACTGACCCTGATGCAGGCTGAAAGCTCCTAACCTTCAGACTCCAGGGAGAGGGAGGACAGATTACAGCAGGTCCCCCGGGAGACAACGGGACTGGCCAGGCTTACCTGACCTCAGATAGAGGGACAGGTGAAGGGGCCCTGCAGACACCTACCCAATGACATACATGTCCAGATTCGGGTCCTGCTTGTCCAGCTGAAGGAGATGATCAAGGTCTAGAGGGGGTGCGGCAGAGGCCACATTCCACGTCACGACATGTATGCTGTGGGAGGGATGACAGGTGACGTCACGGAGGAAGGAGGACAGCGCGTGTCCAGGTCACAGAAGGGCGTGTAGGCCTGCTCATGGACGCACCACAGCCCACTACAATCATGATGAGAAACATGACTTTCTGCATCTGGTGGTGGGGATCGAGGCGCTGAACTACAAGCCCTCCATCTTCACTGTTGTTCCCTGAAGCAGGAAATTCCCACCCTGGATGGGCTCCTCCATGCAGGCCCACAGCTGCCCACATCTGGCAGCACTGGTGCCGCTGACACTAGGAGAGTTGAAGGGGTAGATAGTTGGGAATTTATTAATTTCACCAGCTATTCACTCTGCAGCAATCATCTATGGCTCGGTCAGCAACTTTCCACTCCCCAGTCTTTAATCCAGCTCCCAAGACCACCAGAAAGATCTGAAGGTTCAGTTTTCACCTTATGAGAGACCTCAGCACAAGAAAAGGAGACTTAAAAAATAACAGAGATAACACCAGGTTCCCTTCCTCACTCCTTCCTATGGTTGTGATCCTTGGAGCAAAACTACTTCTGCCAGCATTTAAGAAAGCCTAAGGAGCCCTAGCTTGTTTGGGACAGTGGGTAGAGTGTCGGCCTGCGGACTGAAGGGTACCGGTTCGATTCCAGTCAAGGGCACATACCGGGTTTTTGGGCCCGATCCCCAGTGGGGGACATGCAAGAGGCAGCCAATCAATGATTCTCTCTCATCATTGATGTTTCTATCTCTCGTTCCCTCTCCTTTCCTCTCTGAAATCAATTAAAAAAAAAAAGCCTAAGGAGAAGATTCGAAATAACAGCTTTCTCAGCATCTCAAACGTCTATTGTCTTTTGGGGAAAGTAATCAGTTGGATAATATTTTCCATCTCAGCTTCATATGAGCCTAGGCCCTAGGGAAACAACAGAACAGCAGGTCTCAGGGGAAGGAGAGACTTGAAGGTATCAACGGAATAGTTACAGCAGCACTCCGAGGAAGCCCCAGTGTGCTGCGTCCAGAGCGGGCAGTGGCTACAGACCCTGTGGAGAGCAAGGACAGCCACAAGCCTCAGGGGAGTCCTAGGGACGTCCTGAAGAGGACCTGCAGCCGCTGATCTAGAATGCGAGAGGGTTACAAAAGGGTAGGATTCCCAAAACGTCTCCCCTCCACCAGGCCCTGTTCTTAGAGGTTCATGTTGTAAAAAGCACGACTTGAAGAAATTCTTGGCCGGCGGAAACAACTTCCTGCCCCTTCCCTTGAATATCAACAAAACAACACAAAAAACCTCTTCCCAGGCACTAGAGTGTGTGCTTCGTTCGTTCGTTTGCGATCTATCTCCCCCTGCTGTCCAACGGAGGATTCAGACAGGCAGCCCTTTTATTCCAAGGCTCCTTGTTTTCCCAGGGACCTGCTCTAAGTGAATGGGGAGCAAAGTCGGGATTTCTTGCCCAAATTCTCAAGTCGACGATTAGCAGCAAATCCTCGCATCGTGATCTGCACTAAGTAAGTTGGCGATTAGCGTTGTTCCTCGTTCAAGAGCAAGCATGGGACCAGGCTATAGGATCTTAACTGCACGCATTTGTTTTCGGGTTTTAGGAGGTCACCACGGGATCAGGCTGCCCCATGATGTAAGTGCCGATTAAAAGTAAGAACAGTTTCTACTCTAGAGCTGAGGAGAGTGCCTTGTTATGTCTCTAACTTCCAACAGCGCACCCTGCCTTCTCCAGGAGCCAACTGGGCAAATAGCTCGGCGGCTTGCGTTTGGAAGGGGCGTGGGGCTCTCGGACTTAACATAGCCCTCTGGACACTGGGATAGTTTGGGAGCAACTCCGAGTTAGAAGCAGCCCTGTAGGCCCGGCCCGTCTCTCCCAGCTGGTTCTGCCCCAGATCCGCAGCCCCAATTGGGTCGGAAGCAGTGATCCAGCTCGGAGCAGGGCCTTCCTCACCTGAGCTTCCTGTCTCTCGGTTCGGCTGGCTTCAGTGGATTCACAGTCTCCATCGTCCCCCCGCGGAGACCCGCCGGCTAGCCCCAGCGGGTCCTGGGCCGA